ATAAGGTAGTATGTAATAATCTGTCTGTAACAACAAACTGTAAACAACGTAACTATCCATGATTAAGCCGGCCTCAATATATCACAACAGACCTACATGTGCTTACATAACTACCTCTCCCAGGTAAATTTTTAAGTAAAATAAAAAGGTATAGACAAATATAATATGATGCTATTTAAACATAAATATATAGGATTTTTCTAAATTTTAAACCATAAACTAGTGGTTTCTATGAGAAGGCTTTTTAACCATGTTCAAATTTTATATTCTTTAAACCTTAAAGACAAAAATTAATCTGAAATAAATGAACTTGCTATTTACTCTCACACTAATAAAGGAAAAAAAACAGCAAAAATCTCCATGTTGGGGCTCCATGAATATTCATAAAATGCATAGAACTTTAGGCTGTTTTTATCTGCAAAACATTTGTATTGTTCAATTCTATTAAAAGTGAAGTTTTATTAAGAAAAATCTAATGTGTATGATTTTAATAACAATAAACTAAAAGTATGTTTAAAAATGCATTTTTTTCCTTTATCTTCTGAACTTGATGACTTGGATTTCAAAATGGATTCCTTACTCAAATGTCAGAGAATAATACTAGCACAGAAGAAATTGCTATAATGGAACAGTCATGAACTTTTAAACCTAGACTTCTGTTCAAATGTCTTAGTTATCTTCATCTGTAACATGGAAATACGAAGATCTATTTTCCAAGAATTATACCACATGGCACTTTGTAATGGGAAAATACTCAGAAGCTGGTATTATTATTAAAAGAGTAAAGAAGTGAGTAATAAACATAAAAATCTCCAAGGCTTTCGTGGGAGAGGTTTCTCTTCAATATAATCACACCCATGCTATATATAAGCCAAAGTCACTGAAGCCTAAGAGGTCCTGGTTAGCTCCGGTTTCACTTTATCACAAGAGAGTCAAGAAATCAGTTCAGAACCCATGGTACCACAGAGAAGAGTGCAGAAGAACTAGGTAGTATAATGGCAGCAAATTGCCTATGTGCTGTCTCATGAAAAGAAGAGATCCAGGCAGGGTGGGGTGGCTCATACCTGTAATCACAGCACTTTGGGAAGCAGAGGCGAGAGGATCTGTCAAGTCCAGGAGTTCAAGACCACCTGGCCAAGATTAAAATTAAAAAAAAGAAGAGAGCCAACATCCTCACAATGTGCACTGCAGACACCACAATTAACAGGAACAATTACAGGGGAGAAATACTTGTTGCAACAACTTACAAAATCTGGCCCCTGAGCATACTCAACCCAGCTTGCCAGGGCCTCCTCCAACATATCCTATACGTATAGAGAACTTCAATCTATGAACACAGTCACAGAAAATCAAAGGCAACATGTGATACTTCTCCTTATTTATATGTTTATTTAGTAATTTATCAATTATAATTTCCTACCGCTTTTAGCATACATATTGAATATCAAACTAAAAAAGAAGGAGTGTATGTTTTCATCTAATGACAAGTTTGGTCAACTTTTGAAAACACAACAGGATCCTTTCGTCAAATAATCAAGTTATTAACAGAATATCAACATATGAAATGGGAAAAATAGAAATTCAGTCTATTCCTTGTCACTGTAATGCCTACAGTGAAACCCTGTGTATGTAGGGGTCCACAGAACACAATGTGTAAAACAAGAACCTTGTAACAAAATATTTTTAAGTTACAAAATAACACTTCATCAAAATAGTAAGAAATAATTTCTTAATCTCATCACTTCAACAACCACAAAATAAAAACAGATTATACTTCTAATAGCTGCTGTCCAAACAAAAATCAAACAAACAACAGACAAAGACTGCAGTTGTGAAAATGCAACTAAATGTGAAGAACATTGCTGTAAATATCTCAAAAGTCCACAAGATGGCGATATTTAGTAAAAAATTAATACATGATCAAAAGCATTGCATGATATTCTTCAGGAATTTAAAATGCTTGCATCTTTGTAGTAAAAGAATGTTCGCTACAAATTAAAAATCAGAATACTGATGAGAGTGAAGTCAAGTGATTTTACTGAAAGCAAGAAAACATTTCAGAGAAAAGATTCTTCCACCTTTGCATCAACTATTTCCTTCATCACTGACCTTGCCTAAGAGGAATTATATTTGAGATTCCACTTGTACAAGAATGAAGATAATGACAAATTTAGAGGGAAGTTATCATGAGACCCTTCAAATATGTAATCATTTTAGACCCTCTAAATAATTAATAATCAGCTTAATTATTAAACTGCTAACAGGTATTTTCAATAAAACACTCATTTGATTTTCCTGAACATCACACAAGAGAGTTTTCCTTATCCCAACTTTCTAGGTCAAGAAACTGAATCAGGAAGTTTGATATGTAGTAAAATACAGAATAATAAGATTCAGCAATTCCACTCCTAAGTATATACCCAAGAGAAATGAAAACATATACCTACATAAAAGCTTGTACATGAACGTTCACAGCAGCATTATTCATAATAGCCAAAAAGTAGAAACAATCCAAATGTCCATCAATTGATGAATGGGTAAAAAAAAATATGGTATATCCATATAAAGGAATATTATTCAGCAATAAAGGGAAATTAAGACTGATACATGCTACAACAGAGATGAAACTTGAAAGCATTATGCTAAGTGAAATAAGTCAGTCACAAAGAACCATGTCTTGTATGATTCCATTCACATGAAATATCCAGAATAGGCAAATCCATAGAGACAGGAAGTAGACTGGTGGTTGCCTAGAACTGGGAGAATGGGGGAAAAAGTGAATGCTAAGGGGTACTGAAAATGTTTTTAGGGTACTGAAAATGTTTTACAATTCATCGCGGTAATGAATGCACAACTCTGAGTATACTAAAAGCTATTGTATTGTACATTTTAAATGGGTGAATTGTATGGTATCTGAATTATATTTCAATCAAGTTGATTTTTTAAAAAGCTTTCTAATTGATTAATATAGATAACAGGAGAAAAAAAGAGTAAATTCGCTATGCCTTCAATTTGTAATTCAGCATCAGATATGGATTTAGACTCCGTAACTATTCCTTCTCTCTTTCACTTTCCCCCAAAACAAAAAAAAATGTACAGTAATTCATTTACATTGTATGGTAAAATGAAGATACATAGAGAAAGCTCATTTCAGGCATATAGCCAGATGAGGTGGCAAGCATAATTTGATCTTTAGCATAGATGTGAAGAGATGAACAGGTGTAGGCAGGAGTTTCACGGAACAAAACCCAAGAAGACTCATGGAGCTACAATGTGGACTTAAAGGGAGAGATAAAGGATTCCTTTATTTTTTAAAATAGTGGTAGAAAAACACACAATATTTACCATCTTACCTATTTTGAATAGTACAATTCAATAGTGTTAAATATATTCACATTATTATGCAACAGGTCTCCAGAATTTTTTCATCTTGCAGAACTGCAGAAGTATACCCATTGAACAACTCCTCATTTATCCCTCTCCCCAGTCTCTGGGAGCCACTATTCTAGTTTCTGTTTCTATAAGTCTATTTTAGATACTTCATGTAAGTGAAATCCTACCGTATTTGCCTTTTTGGAACTTATTTCACTTAGCATAATGTCCTCAAGGTTTTTCAGTGTTGAAGCATGTGATAAGACTTTCTTCTTTTTAAAGACTGAATAACATTCTATTGGAGAGAGATATATATATATATATCACATTTTATTTATCCATTCATAGATATTTGGGTTGCTTCCATGTCATGGTGATTGTGAATAATATTGCTATGAACAAGGACTCCTCTATCTTAATATCCTACTTTCTCACTATTATTAAGCATAAACAAATACCTATTAAGATATATCAGCATTCCCTCAAGATGTCTTTCAAAGAATATGAATATATGTTTGGAAGAATAAAGACCTCACAATTACAAAAGTTTAGTAAACACTAAGGTAAAACAGATCAGCAGGTTTCTCTACTGCAGGACTTCTCGTGTGTGTGTGTGTGTGTGTGTGTGTGTCTTTTTTTAGAGACAAGATCTCATTCTGTTGGCCAGGCTGGAGTGCAATGGTGCAATCATAGCTCACTACAGCCTTGAACTCCTAGACTCAAGGAATCCTCCCGTCTTGGCTTCCCAAGTAGCTGGGACTATAGGCAGACACCATCGTTCCCAGCAATTTTTTTTTTTTTTCCAGAGATAGGATCTGCCTGTGTTAGGATTACAGGCATGAGCCACCAGCTCATTGAAGACACCCAGTTGTCTTCAATTTTTCTATGTGCACTGTGAATTCATAGGAGACTATACTATAGGCACTTTTCCTCTAAACTCATTTGATCAGGCAGTTTTGGTGCAGGGTCTCTTGAATTTCTGTTTCAGGCTGCAGCCTGGGGAGTCCAGTAACAACTGAACACTGAAACTAAAGTTGGACTCTTTTGTACACTGCCTTGAATAGCCATATATTTAAAACACATTGATGTTAGAATGATAACAATGATAGCTTGATCTAATTAAAAGAAGCTAGATTTTTTTTTTCCATTCTTACATACCCTTAGGGCTGAAAGGAGCCCCGGCCATAAAGCCAACAAGAACAGTATCATTTTGCTGATTTAAAAAAAAAATGCAGGCATCCCTAATTCATATTGCAGTACTCTAAAGGTACTGGACATCTGGTCTCTACCTCTGGAGTATCTGCAAGGAAAGTATAATAAATGTAATATTAATGTAATAACTTCATTACAACCAGAAATTAGATATATCAGGAATTATTCAAGAAAGAAGTCTCCCCTTCCGAACTGAGACTAGTAAAGCTTATATCCAATGCCCTTTACTTCCACAAAATAATAAAAAGGGTAATTGTAAAAAGAGCCTCAAGTCACCTAAAAAGCTTAAGCTTTTTTTAGTACAGAGGTATTTTTTTAGTAGAGAGTTAACTGTAGCTCTCAAAACTAAGTAAACTAGGAGAATGCAATTCTCAACCATGAAAATTAACAAAGGTATTGTTAAATGTGTAACTTACTGCTATAATTTGGTCTCCAATTTGGATTCTGCCATCATGCTCAACAGCACTGCTTTTTGTAATGCTCTTTACAAAGATTCCTGAAGGTTCTAAGATTAGAAATAGGTTATTTTTCACAATTTTCAAAGCACATTCAAAGAATATCCATCTTCAATTCTCCAAATATAAAGCTCTAATTTAGAATAAATATGTATCATCTAGTAGAAACATAGGCTAAAGAATAAAATAATTGTTTTGTCTATCTTAAATACAATATAAGAGTCGCCTACACTAAATTATTCCTAAGGAAGTTTTCAACCAGTTTATCCAACAATGTGAAACATGTAATATCAACTCAATATTTTGTAAGAGATATCAGAGGTAACTGCCAAGTTTAAAAGAATATTTAATGTTTAATATTACCCAATTTTTTATCTCCAATGTAACCAGCAATGGTAATTCCTAATCCTTGGACATTTTTAGTGAGTTCTACATCAAATGTCTCACTTTCTTCACCTTTCTGAGTAGAAGCATCAACCTAAAATAAAATCAATACATATACAGTGAAATAAATACGTAAAAAGAAAGCCACAGGCCTACTTTAATTCTCTAGCAGAGAATTATAATAGAGATGATACCTTTAATCCTAAACACAGGGATAGGCATCATCATATTTTTTCTCAGAAAGGGATGTTAGGAATAAGATTGAACCTTCCCTTATCAGAGAATACATTATTGTTTGCGTATACTAAATTTTAAATCAAACAGGTTTTTTTTTTAGCAAACTCTATTTTCAGAGATGGTTCATCTTAATTTCTGAAGAAGTTAGGATGCAGTATAGCTGAAAAACTAACGTTATGAATTCAGATCAACAAGTTAAATCTAGCTTTGCCACTTAATCTACAAAGAAAATATCACTTTTGTCAACTGTCTATCAGGAAAAGAATAACAACAACTAGACAAGCTACCATTTATTGAGCAGTTTGTGTGTAACTCAGAATTAAGACTTTACATGTCTTAATTCATTATTTCTCATAATTCCTCATAATTCAGCATCCTGAATGATAGCTGAAAGTGGGTTTCTCAGATGTCAGCCTTCTCTAATAGAATTGTTACTAATTCTATGTTGGACAGAAGAGCAAGTCTCCCTAAAATTAAGCACTAGTTAATTGGTACAATATATCATCGATAAGCTATTGGTACTATGTATTAGTATGGTGTCAGCAGATGCTACAGAGAACCGTAGGAAGGGCACAACAAAATCAAAGCTATAGAGTCTAATGGACAGTCAGGTTGGGGCTAGCTGATGTTTTTCTAATTTCTTTAAACAAACTCTGACAGTCCACTTAAATGAGATATAATTTTACAGTAAAGTTTGATTTATTTTTTTCATTGCACATAATTATCTGTGCAAACTTAGCAAAAGTTTAAAGTTTAGATAATTACAAGAAAATGACAGGATGAAATCTGCTTCAATTGAAACAAATGTGTTTTCTATTTTTAATAAGACTTATGCGAGTGCTATTTTAGAGAGTGGCAATTTGACTATCGAATGGTTTTAAAAGGGGCACAAGCTTCAGAAATGATGATATGCACAGAACAGATATTTTTCTAAGCTTTCAATTATATCAAGTGGTTTTCGGTATTGCATTCATTTATATATCGCTGAATAAAATGTTTTGTTTACCACAAAAGAATGCCATTTAAACACTTTCATAAACAAGCTTTCTTTACTTCTTTCTCTTTGCAAAAAATAGCAACCAAATTCAATTTCTAAAAACAACAGAATCATGGAAATTACAAGTGTTCTAATAAAGTTTTAAAGGGCTTGTGGAGGAGGTTAGGATATTAAAAAAGAATTTGTAGCAACTGCTTAGAAAAAACTTCAATAGAACAAAACAGATTTTTTTACATCTATGGGAAAAGAATATAGGACTTGTATTTACTATAAGGCTTACCTAGAAACTGGGTGTAATTCTCTTCTTAAATATTTAAGAGATTTCTGGATAAATTATTTTGTTAATATTTATCTTCTGTAGTCTGATGACCTATAAATCTGCTGATATACCCACTGCTTTCCAATAATTTCGAAATTTTCTAGCTTTTTCCATATCAAGTTAAGGACAAGGATGGAATACTATGCATATGAATAGAGCTTTTGTTATAACACCAAAAGAATAACTTTTGTTTAAAAAGCATATAACTGGGTCAGAATAATGACTACTTATTACAATCTGATAATAGTTCTAAGACATACTTTAAAACAATAACACTAAAAGGTTTTAGTAAGCCTTTTTCATGCCCACCAAGCCTGCCCCCACTCCTCAACCTCCACACATTCAAAACAAAAACAAAAATACTAACGGGAAGGTTGATGAAAGAGAATGATTAGAACTATGACCCACCTTACAGAGAGTCTTCTAACTGAGAAAAAGACAGAATTAAACATTTTAGATATCAGTACCAAATAATTTTTAAACTTTTATCCATACTTTTAAACATTATCCTCACAAATGTGCTGCTTACATAAAAATGTAAAATAATCTAGCATTTTTAAACAACCTATTTTTCATTTGTTTTACACATTATTCCTGATTAATAAAATATTATTAGTGCTAAAGCATCCCTACGTTTGAATTTCATTACATTATTTAGCACTAATATATGAACATTAGTAAGTCTAGTTTCTAAATAAACATCACTGTCGTCATCTAAGTGCTATTTCTCTGACTTTCACATTAACTATTCTTAACTACTTACCCGCAACTCTGGCATTGAAGTTGGGGATGAGGAGAGGGTGATGCCCAAAGCAGTGGGTGCTGTATGTTCTTCTATGGCACCTCTTGCAATCATCAACTTAACTCTATTTCCACATTGCCTAAGGACTTGTGCTACTTGCTCACTGCTCATTCCTGCTAGATCTGTGTCACCAATCTTTAGAATGTGGTCTCCACTGCATAAACGCCCATGCTGAGTAAAACAATATTGAATAATTAGACTATTATTATTTTAACTGCATCAGAAAAATCACAAATGAGGAGAGGGGATTAATGTTTAAAAAAGCAATAATATGAGTTACCAAACAGGACATAAAACACACGGTTATAATATGAACTGTCTTTTGAAACATCCTAGCATCATTCAGTGTGATGCAATAAATGAAATCTACAAATAGTCTTTAAATCAATAGTTCATATGAACTTTCCATTTTGACTTCTACCTAGCAAGAGTTCATATGAACTTTTCACTTTGATTTCTACCCAAATGCCTTTTTGTGAATTTTTTGGAGGGAAAGAAAAAAATGCCATTAAGCAAAGTTGTATATAAGTCACTATGCAAATATATATTACCTAAAATATGGTATAAACCACAAGAAAGCATTATATTAATATCACAACTTTCTGCCTGGCTATTTCTATTATAAATGTCCCAAAAGAACTCATGTGCAGGTGAAATACTTGTGTAGTGAAAATTCTGAAAGATGTGAGGAGTGAAAAGCAGTCTATGAGCCTCCATACACATGCAGTCCATTAACTTTCTGCAATGATGGAACTCTTCTGCACTACTCAATACAACAGCTGTGGAGCTCTTGAAATGTGGCTAGTCCAGCTGAGAAACTGAACTTGTAATTTCATTTAATTTTAATTAACTTAAATTTTAATTTTAAAGGTGATATGCAGACAGCTATAGTATTGAAGAGTGCAGCTCCATACTAAAGATAAAGCATGTAAATATCACATGCTAGTCAACTAGAGACATTTCATTTGATGCTGCTAGATGCTAGCTAATGTTTAAAAGGAAGAAAAATTTGCATACTATTATATTACTGTTAATACCCCTACTGACAAGGTTGTCATTAAACAGGGATTTCATTTATGAATACAGGAAATATTTGATGAACTGGACTTCCTAGTTTAAGTTCAGACACACATGTACGAACAACCACTTTATTTTTTAAAAAGTTATAATCAACGCAAAACTTACTTAAACCAGTAAGCCTTATCAAATTAAAATATAAATCATAACAAATGTGTTAAATCTTTTCTCACATATATTGCAACAATATCACATATCATAAATGATAATGCCTCAATAAACTACTTAAGTGATAAAAACAGGCTGTGTTTCATATACAAAGACGATTCCAGGGACCCATCACTAAAGCAACAAGTTGATTTTTTTTGCCTGAATAATAAAGTATATTTTCCCATAATACCTTGTGACTAAACAGCTGACTAGGTTTATAAATATGAATTATGACTATAAAATAGTAGCTACCTCCACAATTATCAAATCCATAACCTTGGCTTTAGTCTGAGGTTCAAAAGTGTTAAGTCTATTGTCTAAAACTATAATTTAAGATTAATGTCCCTTTTCAAAGGTATTCCTCCCCTAGGTCTAAGACAACACTTCAGGGACACTCAATAAAATGAAAGAGTCTAACTCAATTTCTTTGGCATCATCTAAAGCCAAAGTTTCTTCTCTATAACAAAAAAAATGTAAAAGATGTACCCATATTATTTGATAAAATAGCATAAAAGATCTATTGATGTAGCCTACCTGATCAGCTACTCCTCCAGGCAGAATGGTTTTTACTATCACACCAGTTGCTTTTCCTCCTATGATGCCAAATCCCAAACCAGATCCATCATTCACCAATTCAATAGTTTCCACGTGTTGCCAGTGAACCTACAAACAAAGCTCATATATGAATTTGTAGAAATTTACAAAGCACTAACATTTTGTATTACAATAGAAATTTTTGTGGTTATTAAATAATTAAATTCAGACATAATGAGTCCTAACAATGTCCCTTTCACTTGGTATACTTCCCTTTCAACAGAATGTAAGTGCTACTGACAGATTCATTCTTGAAATTATCAATATATCATCCTAATGATTTCACTTCAGCAGTTAAAGACAGGCACTGATTTACAAGATCTTTTGTAGCACTTCTTACAAAAAAAGAAAAAGATCAAGGGGAAAAAAAAGGTCACATGTTAAGAATGTCTTCTGCACAATCCTGCCTTGAGGCAGGATTCCAAATTAGATGACTTCTTAAAAGTTACTGACAGCTAACTGTAACAATATAATTGTATAATTTTTAAATCAAAATCAACAATGTATTTGTCTACAGATAAAGTCAATTTTTGTTAAAGGACTACATTTTCCATTTTTAAGGAATGCTATCAAAGGAAAAAACTACACAAAGAAAAGTAATGGTTGTTTCAGAACCTAGAAGCTTTATCACGCTTAAAGAACAAATATTCCAGGCTAGGGAAAGATAAAAGAATAGTCAGACAAAAACTAAAGAAGTGCAAAGACCCTACACAAATTAGAAACTTGGAGATAACCAAAAAGAACTTGAAAAATATGTTGTTTCTTCTGAAGATTTTAAGTACTCACTGGATTAGAGTGAGCTGAAATGGTGCTGGCTGCAGATGGAGAACGGGAAACTATGGGGCTGACGAGCTGAGGCAAAGAGCCTCTGGCGATAACTAGCTGGACAGTATCCTTGGCTTTCTGCAGGATGCTGACAGCCTGCTGATGTGTAATTGTCTGATCAAGAGCCTGTCCATTGATAGCAAGAATTTGATCAGTTTCTTTCAATCTTCCATCTCTATCAAGGATGAAAAAAGGGATAAAAGACAATCTGAGAGTTCTCAAGGAAATGACAGCTTCTTTAGCATGTATGTTCAAGTCATTTTTAATCCTAGTTTTAATTCCAATACACTAAGCTTTTTCCTGCAGTTCTACTTTTAAAAAAATATACGCTTTGGCTAAAGGTCATCAACTCTCGTAATGTTATTCCACTGCTACTCCTACTCAACTCCTGCCATATAAAAGTACTCTTTATTTCAGCTCCCCATTCAGCCTATATGACATCTTGGATATTCTCATCTTCTAAAAATGAAAGTGGATATACCTATACAGTTGGCCCTCTGTATCCATGGGTTCTACATCCACAGATTCAACCAACTGGGGATCAAATATACTCAGAAAAAGTAATGCCACAACAATAAAAAAAAAAAAAAAACACACACAAATTTTAAAAATACAGTATGACTACTAATATTTACATAGGATTTGCATTGTGTTAGGCATTATAAGTTAAAGATGAGTTAAAATATATGGAAGAATGTGCACAGGTTATATACAAATACTATACCACTTTATATAAGGGACTTGAGCATCTGCAGACTTTAGTATCTCCAGGAGTCCTGGAACCAATTCCCCACGGATACTGATGGACAACTATATTAAATTATTGCTTTGGGTATATAAACAAATGCAACTCGAATTATTTTGGGTCATTTCCAGTATAGTGATTTTTAAAATCTAACCAAAAAGAGCCCATTTAATTAACAATCAAAATAATGTTATCCTCAAATTTTTCTTTCCTTACCAAAACTTAAGTTATGACTATATTTAAAAGCTACTCCCATTTCAAAGGACTTGCTATTTTATCACAACAATGTTAATGACTTCTAAAAACTGGTTAATAACCAGATTATGTTCAATTATTTGTTTCTATTCATTATTATTTTTCTAAATTCCTACACAGTGACCAAAACCTTCAGAATGTGGTATCGAAAACAAAGTAGATGCTGTGACCATCTCACCTATGAGCCACACTGCCCTCTTGTATCTCTTGTACAAATATTCCCAGCTCTCCTCTGTTTTCACTTCTTAGTCCCACAACACTAAACCCAAGGCCTCCAGATGGAGGTTTGAGGAGCTCAAAAACTTCTACATGGCGACCCTGTTTAGGAAACAAAAAAAGAAATAAAATTAAAAGCCAGGCCATGCATGGTGGTTCACGCCTGTAAATCCCAGCACTTTGGGAGGCCAAGGTGGGAGGATCACTTGAAGCCAGGAGTTAGGGACCAAACTGGGCTACATAATGTGACCCTCTCTCTATAAAAAATAAAATTAAAACTTAGCTGAGTGTGGTGGCACACATGTATAGTCCTAGACACTCAAGAGACTGAGGCAGAAGAATCCCTTGAGCCCAGGAGTTTAGAGCTGTCACAACACTGCACTCCAGTGTGGGTGACACAGCAAGACATGTCTCAAAAAAACTTAAATTAAAAGCCAATTATTGCAATAACAGTCATCTTATTATAACCATTTCTTTGTTTAGAAAAAAAAGAAATTGAAAAAAAATTTTCCAAGGTAATTGTTAGCACTTTATCCTGAAGAATATTTCTATAATACAACATATAATACTCAAATTTAAATGATGATAAAACTGTAATAGAAAATCTCTGAACCATCTAAACTCCCACAACTGACTTTTTGTTCCAATTGTTTCAGATGTTATAAATGTCACTATATTCTCCAAATTATCCACAACTTGATCACATTCTTAAATTATTAAAGGTTTTACAATAACAGAAAGAAATGTTCTTACCTGGGCCATATTTTTGATAAGCTGATCAAATTCATCACAAGCAGGTTTCCCATTAATGTGTGGAATACCAGATCCTGTAAGTGCTTCCAGATTCCCATTGTTTGGGGATAATAAAAACGATTCATTTTGCAGAGTAGGAATCACAGCTGGGCTGAGATGAGGAATGTGGGCATATTCAATATTTGAAGTTGCTGAAGTTGCAATATTTACCTAAGAGTAATACAGGGAGTATTAAGAATTTTGACATTCCATAAACTATTTCATAGGAAATATCCCAACGGTACAAGGACGTACATATGAAATTTCAAAATGTCCAAATCCTTTGATCCAGCAATTCTATTTTGGGAAATTTATTTCAAGGATAAACATTAGGATAATACATAAAGATGTGTGTGCATCACTAAATGTTCAATGCAGCACCATTTTTTAGATGGGAAAATTAAAAAACTAATTACTTCCAAGGTTCAACTTCAGGGTACTTATTAAAACACACCCACAAATACATCCAGACATACATTTTTTTGTCCTCAGATCCTATGAAGTAACCTCTGAACTCTCAGAATTTCCTGAGTGATGAGGTTTCTTTCTTCTTCATGGTGGGCCCCAAGGCCACATGATAGAAGCCCAAACTCGGAGTTGAATTTTAATCATATGGGCAGGGCAATCAATCACACCTATGAAATAACACCCCAATAAAAAATTCTGAACACCAAGATCAGGTAATATTCCTGGGTTTGCAACACAGTCAAACACAGCTATACATGTGCTTGTGCTTTAAGCTAAGTGCTATTATGAGAGTCAAAAGTTTTTTTTAAAAAATTAAAACTTTATAAAGCAAAAAAAGTTACAGTAAGCCAAGGTAATTTATTATTGAAGAAAGAAAAGTTTCTGTAAATTTAGTATAGCCTAGGTGTACAGTATTTATAACTTATGTATAAACTCTATGCATAAGTTTTTTACCTGTCCTTAAAAATAAAACAGAAAACTCATTCAGTTACCAAAGTTACCAATAACCCAATCATCATAATGGCTATCTAGTAGCATACAGTATATTGACTATTTAGCAGTGTTCAGTAATGTCCTAGGCCTTCACATTCACTCACCACTCACTCACTGATTCACCTATAGTAACTTCCAGTCCTGCAGGCTCCATTCATGGTAAGTGTGTCCTATACAGGTGTACCATTTTTTATCTTTTAACCACATTTTTACTGTACTTTTTCTATATTTAGATACACATATAATTACCATTGTGCTACAACTGCATACAGTACTCCATATAGTAACACGCTGTACAGGTTGGTAGCTTAGGAGCAACAGTTGTTGCCTAGTTGTGTGGTAGGCTATACCACCTAGGTTTGAGTAAGTATACCCTACGATGTTTGCACAAGGATGAAATCACCTAATGACACATGGCTGTACTCTATACATATTGTCACACATAGATCAAGCACAAGCTTGTCACACAAGCTTCTAGTTTGGAATCCTCCCATAATCTGCACTATGCATCTCTTCCTTTGGCTGACTCTTAACTGCATCCTTTCCCTACAAGAGATGATAATCATGTGTATAACAGATTTCAGAGATTCTCTAAGACCTTCTAGTGAATTATGAAACCTCAAGGTGGCTGGGGAACCTCGCAAACTTGCAGCTGATATCATAAGTGAGGGTGGTTTTATGTATCCTTATACCTTTAAGTTTGTAGCTGGACCCTAACTTGCCGCAGTTGGTATCAGAAGTGTGTGGCAGCACTAGCAGTCTGGAGGACTGTGCCCTCAAATTGTGCTGACTGGCTAACTCTAAGTACAATGACACACGTAACAACAATGGAAAAGATCATCTCACTTTGGGAAATGATTTTATAATTATTTGTGTGTGCCTGTTACAAAGAGTTTGAAGTTAAATATAAATAATAATAAAGCAATGCAGTCAATCCTAATTTCATATTTATGTTGGGTGTCTGGATTGTGACTTTTTGTCTATAACTACTTAACAGAAAGCTTACTTCAATGATGTTTTGGGGTCACTCTCTGACCTCATCTCCTAGCAGTCTGTCCCTCACCCACTTAGCCCTAGCTGTGCTCCCCTCCTCACTGTGCCTCAAACTGCCAAGGATGTACCACTCTATCAGACAGGTATATCCTTCTCCAAATATCCACATGCTTCCTTATTTCATTCAGGTGTGCCCAGCCTCACCACAGAAAAATCCTCCTTGGCATCCCTATCTAAGACAGCACCATTATACTTCACAAACTTACTCTGCCCTGTTTTAATTCATGGCACTCATTACCACGTGATCCACACCCTGCTGTCATGAAGCTTTCATCCCAGTCAGTGGAGATAGACTAGAATGCAAAAACTCTCCAGCGGAAATTTTTGACTATTTTGTTTTTACTATGCCCTCATTCTCTAGAAGAATGCCTTATACAGAGTTGATGTTCAACATACATTGGCAGAAAAAAATGTTTTTCTATTTTTAAAGGATCTAATTCTGATCCAATCTCCCAAACAACCTTTCAAGTATCATCTCAATTCTAAGGATGATGAAATTACGTAAAGTCACACACCTAAGTTGTTTGTGACCTAAATTTTTTTCATCATGGTGTTCCTATCATCCTTGTATTATACACAAAACATACAGTCCTTGTATTATACACAAAACATTTTAGATATCATTTTTGAAATAAAACATTAGGTAAAGAACATCCCCTGGCAGAAGCTATCAAAATATTTCACAATATGTCACCAAAATCTACACATAAGAGTTACCTATCCTTAAAAATAAAATGGAAAACTCATTAAGTTACCAAAGTTACCAATAACCATTATATTGGCTATCTACAATCACAGATGAAAAAGAGATCAATGTGATGAGAAGAGACTTTTGGGAATCCTTTTAAATGTTTATTTTAAAATCTATAGCAGACACGATCAATTATTACTTTTTCAAAAGTAAGCTTCTTATGCCAAGACTGATTTTTTTTTTTATCCTGAGCCATGACAACTTCAATAAAGTCTGCCAGCAGAAGATACACAGCTCAGGTTGAAGCAGATGGCATAATGAAATTTGTGACAGGCTGAGGATCCCACACACCAAGACCTAATGGCTATGGTATGTTTACATAGGAAAAAATATTTGGACTTATGCTATGGTAAGCCAGAATGAACAAATCGCATTTAGAGAATAGAGAATCTGTCTATAAGAGATTCATGGTAAAATAGAAGCTCTGATATTATGAAATATTAGGTATAAAGGCATTCTAAGAGTAAAGTCAGTGGGAGCAAAACAAGTAAAATATTATAAAATGAGAACTGTATAAAAGTATTTAATATCAATTGCCATTTCCTAATTTGTTAAAGATTTGAGGAAGTTCAATGACTCCTCCTACTTCATCCCTGACCTTGAGGTCTACATAAATGTAAAAGCAAAGGTTACAGAGATCACATATTTAAAAACTATTATTTAAATATACCACCATACAAAAGTCTTATTTACACATTGGCAAATTTATACTCATAAGAAAAAGCAGAAAGGCACCTTTGATTATGCTATAATTCTTTATTTAAATGGCTTTCTGAACTATAATCTCTTTGAGGAATAGGAATGTATCTTATTTGCCTTGATAGGTCTGTTCATAGCAGTCATGCTATAAATGTTTAATGAAAAGATCTTGATTCTCATCCTTGGTCTACAGAATATAAAATAAACAAAAGAAAACATAAATATCTGGCAATTTTTATATACAGATAAACATTCTGCATAATTTATGGAAGTTGTTAGTAAATGGGCAAGAGTCACCAAATAATTATCTGTTTTCTGTTTAAGTTCTGGCTGAACATTTCAGTCTAAAAGAGGCTTTTATGTATTTAGTAAATAAACACATTAATTTATGGATTTTAGTTAGTGCTATTACCTAAAACATAACCTAAATATTATGCAAATTACTCAATTTAAAAGTTTGCAAATTCTATGTGAAAGGGCAAGCTAAAACATCTTCTAAGTATTTAAAAGTAAAGAAAAGTCCTCTTATAAGATGCAGTTAGAACCAGTATTGGTTCACACGCTACAAAAGGTCAAATAAAGCACAAATCATAACAAAGAACAAATATGTACCTTACTTTAACTTAAAAAAATGCATGTATATTCACCTGTATATAGGATTTGTTCATACACGCAATTTGTTCAATCTGGCTTACCATAGCATAAATCCAAATACTTTTTACTATGCAAACATACCATAGCCATTAGATCTTGGTGTGTGGGATCCTCAGTCTGTAACAAATTTCATAATTCTAAATATCTTTTATCATACATCTGTTTCACAGTTTGATCAAACATAACTAACAATTTCACCAATAACTGTTTTATCAATTCACCTATATAGTTTTTCAAAATAATTTAAATATATTTTCACAGAAAAATAAACTTGTCATAAAATTGTATATTATATAATAAAGTTGTGTGATTATAAAATAAATACAACTGGTACAAATAGCTTTAAAAATGACTTTTTGAGAAATGCACATTTAGCTGGTACAAGCTAGCAAAGGACACAAACTAGAGAAGGTCTGAGTAGACAAGTGTTTAGTGCCCTAGGTATCATTCAATATGCCTTCCAGAAGAAATGGACAGTATCTTCTTAGCAAGTTCCTCATTTGCAGGTGTGCTAGGAGAGCTGCTTCTAGAATAGCATCCAAGAAAACATAATTTATCTTTAGTTCTATATACAATGAAGGACATTCTGTGTGAATAACTGTATCAGAGTAACTTTTCCACTGAGAACAATTAAAAATGTGTATAAGAGCTGTTAAAAAATAAATAAATAAACCACTTTACAGGTATCAAAAAGAAACCAACTCTTCTGCCATACTCTATTGATGCAAAGCAAAGCAGTATCCAGCCCACATCACAGAAGAGGGGAATATACAGAAGCATGAATATCAGAAGGCAGGAAATACTGGCCATCTTAGAGGCTGACTAGCATGGCATATCACAGCAAAACAGCTAAAAGCCAAGATAGAAAGAAAATCTTAAAAACCACTAGAGCAAAAAGGTATCTAATCTTCAAAGAACAATAAGACCAACAGCTGACTTCTCAAGAAAAACAAAGGCCAGATGTTAATGAGATGATTAAAAAACAAAAAGATAAAAATACCTGACAACCTAGATTTGTCACGCCACACACCACACATACACACACACACACACA